GTTACCACCAGCCTCTATCTCTGAAGGGACCATCGTACAGTTAACACAGCTCCTGACCTGAGGAAGTCCTGGCCTTTGGACACGGACTCGGGATCTAGGTCCACGGTTCTGGCTGGACCTTTGTGGTATTAGAGGCTTCAGAAAAGCCACCCTTCAAACCACATGTATACACAAACCATACAAATAATTTTAAGATATTCAGGCTAGGGACTCAAACCTCCAGGTGTCTTATGAGCAGAGAGGCTTGCTCTGTGGGGATACTAGATATCCTTGGAGTGAGATGAGGTCAGAAAAGCTGGCTTCTGTTTCTGCACCCGTAAAGACCTATAAACCGGAATCTTGCAAAACCGTTCTCCTGATCTGTGTAATACCAGTTCTCCTGATCTGTGTAATAGGGAAAACTGACAGACTTGGATGGTAGACTCTTGAGTTCCTCTCTAGTTTTCACATTTTAGGATTTTTGGCAGTTGAGTCATTGTCACAGGTTGTATTTTTGTGTGCAGCTGTTCGCTCCTTCCTACAGGGTAGTTTGTGTCCTTCCCTGTAGCCACGGGCCTGCTTGCGGCATCCGCCCCGTCCCACCGGGGTGGCAAAGGGACAGGGGTGGACACGTCTAGATGGGAGGTTGGGGAGCATTGTGTGGTGAGTTTATGCTTTTCCTTTTGCCGTGGGAACACATTTCCCAGCTGGCAGCGGTCCCATCAGCCTGGGTGCCAGAACGGTAAGACACATGGAGCAGGTCTGAAGGAGCTGACCTGCAGCCATTGATCGTAACAAGAATGAGAAATAAATGAGATTTGGGGGTTATTAACTGTGGCAAATCTAAGTAATACATCATTAAACCGAAATCAGCTGCTGTCCTTCAGATGGACTGATTTGAGGTTTTGTGCGTGTGCTTCACTGTCTTTGGAGGGCAGCTCGCTGTGGTATACTGACAAAAGAGCCACGCAGCTTTCCTTCCAGGTGCGGTGTCTGCATGTGGCTTGTGGCCCAGGAAGCTGAAGTCCCGCCCCCACCCTCGCCTGGCTTAGGCCGTATCAAGGCCATTCGCTCTCCCAGCTAGAGACTTGCTGCTTGGTTGTCTTTGTAAGAACCTGGTCCTCTGTATGAAGCCAGTTTGCTAGCAGCAACCCTGGCGTCCAGTGCAGGGTTCCATGGAGCATCGCCCTCACTGACCTGGGGCAGAGTGGGTCCCAGTATGCCACCTCACTCATCTGGGAAGCAGACAGCTTACTCAGCTCTTTCCTAGACACCCCTGAGAAACCAAGTTCTGGGACTTCATCCCCACCACCCAGTCCTTTCTTTAGCCTTCTGGCTGGCCCAGTTGTCAATCAGCTTCAAGCCCTGCCCCTGTCTGGCTAGGGTGGGCAAAAGCAGAAAGGGGAGGAGCGACTGACCATGGCAGACCGCAGACCACAGCCGGGACCCTGGCGGCTGCTGACCTGCTGTGCCCGTGAGGACAGACTACTCGGAGCCTCCCTCTAAAGGAGTCATGGCACCCACCTCACAGGCTTGTCCACGGCACCTCTGTGCAGATCAGCAGCGTCAGACCAGCAATTCTCAGTAGGGGTGACTTGCACCAGGGCACACCTGCCAATATCTGGAGACATTTTTGGTTGTCACTACTTGGTGGGATGCTAGTGGCATATATGGGTAGAGGCCAGGGATGTTGCTAAGTAGTCCAGAGTGCACAGGACAGCCCCCACAATGAAGCAGCATCTGCCAAACCGCCAATAATGCTGAGTTTGAGAAACATTGCACAAAACCTTCCAGAAGGCAAGCTCTCAGTTGGCAGAGGCCAGATGGGGATTTGTCTTAGTGTGACACATAGGGAGCTGTGTGTGTGCTGATGAGTGGATGGATGAACGAATGAAGAAAGGAACTAATGAATGAAAAGAAAAGCAAAAAACAGTTCTGTTCCAGGGACTCATCTGCACACACACAAGCATCAGCAACATTCCTGGGCTCAAACCCATGTGCCTGCCTTGCACCCTCCCCAAGGCGGCTTCTGGCCTCCCTGGCCCATGGGCCCTGCCTTCTCTGACCTGTGCCATCCTTTCTGGTCTCTAAGGGAGTGGGAGAGCACAAACTTAGGAGCTGGCCACGGAGGCTAGGACTAGAGCCTGGTTGAGGTTAGGAGCAGGTGTCCTGCTGGCCCAGATAATAACTGCTCCCTCTCCCCACTACAGGCAGGGGGATCCCAGGCAGCGGCAGGTGGCCTGGCCCTTGCCCGCTGCTTCCCCAGCTGCCTGCCCCTACCTGGGAAACGAGCAGAACCGAGTCAGAGTTCTCACAAAGACTCAACCATCTGCCACCTCATTTTACAGATGAGGAAACTGAGGACCAGAGGGAAGGAGGGGCAAGGCCTAGGCATTAGCCTTCTCCACATCTGGATTTGAGGCAGAGTCTTTCCCATGAACTGGGGACACCTTCTCCTCACAGAGCTGGCATGTAGCTTTCCGGGGGCCAGGGGTCAGGGACACAGGTGGGACCATCAAACTTCTGTGTGGTTACCTCTGTGGATTTGGGGTGGCAGCTGGAGACCTAGGGTGGGGGGGGGCAAGGTCCCTTTAAGCTACCCCTGAAACACTGCTGGCAGGTATACAAGGGCAGGCAGGGAATGGAGAGAAATTACAGTGGCTCTCACCACGGAGTTACGGTGCTGGACAAACCATGTACCCTGGTTCTTTCACTTCATCACAATGGCCACATGGCTCAGGTCTACGATCCCAATTTTATAAAGGAGATGGGGCCACGTGGTCTCACCACTAGTGAGTGTCAGAGCCAGGATTTGAACCCAAGCAGCTCCCTCCAGAGGGCATCTGCCTCCCCTTCTGTGTTTTTATTCCATTTACTTTACAAATATTTAACCCAACTGGCACCAACCAACAGCAGGGCCTCCAAGGCCTCTGCCCTCAAGGTCACTGCTGATTAGATGTCAGAAATCTCACCCTGAACTGGAAACTGCTCCAAAGAAGAGAAATAGGGCCACAACAAGCAAGTCCTCACCCCTGCTTGGAGCCCTTGGTGGCTCTCCCTTCCCTCAACATTCTTGGTGTGGCACTCAGGGCCCTTCAGGGTCTGGTCCCTAACTGCCCCTATGGCTTCCTCTCTCCAACCTTAGCCCAGCCATCCCAGACACATTCCATTCAGCTGTGGGGCAGGAGGGCACAGTGGCCTAAGCACACCTCTAGAGCCAAGATATCTGCCTTCCAATTCCAGCCCTGCAGCACATTAGCTGATGGCCTCAGGCCCCGTGCCTCAGTTTCCTTATGTGCAACACAAACAGCATAATAGCACCTCCCTCATGCAGGTGCTGTGAGAATTGTATGAATTAATCCATGTGACATCCACAGAACAGCTTGCCTCAAACTACGCTCTCAATATAGGACACATTTTTTTATTCTCCAGTCCTGCCATGTTCTTGGCTGTGGACACTGCTCCCTCTGCCTGGAGCATTCTTACTTTCACTTGTACCCTTGCCTCCACTCCCCAGGTCTTCCTCCCTTTCCTGTTTAACATCCAGTCCTTAACCAGGCCTGCTGCCTTCTCCAGGAAGCCTTCCCGGCCCCGTCCCACATGTCCCATGACAACCATTACCACACTTGCCACACTGCATTTTAATTGTCTGCTTACTGGATGGTTCCTTCCCCTTCTTTGTAAACTGAGTCAGGGACCCTGAACTGTGCACTTCTGTACTGCCAGCACGTAGCACAGCACCTGCTCAGCACATAGCAGGTACACACAAGTAATTACTGAAGGCCCAAAGGAAGGGGTGTGAGTTCTAAGTGGATTAAGGGTGGAAGCCACCACACATGATAGATAACGGGCCATGAACTTGGGAGAGGGACCAGGAAAGGGTGGTGAGTATGGGCTGGAAGGACCCCCAAGCAAAGGCAAGGAGTACATTCCAGGGGCCAGTGTAGCGGCCTGGCTCACTAACACCGGCCATCTACTGAGCACTGAGGGCCTGCCAGCATTCTAGGGTGCTTTATGTGGACTGGCTTACCCTGCCTGGGAGCAGGAAAGTAGTTTACAGTAGTACCGTTTTACTGACAAGGAAAGTGGTACAGAGGGTAAGTAACTTGCCCAAAGTTAGTTAGCTAGTGAAAAGTAGAGCCAGGATTTGAATTCATGACTCCCCTCAGCCCTTCAGGAGATCTCTGTAACAAGACTGGGTCTCTGTCTTTGAAGAGTTGGGGTGAGACCCAGTGGCCCTTGCCTGTTCACTCCAGTGCTGTGGTACAGTCTTGACATTCAGGGTGCTGCAGTGTCCTCCGACTGTCAGCCTGGGCAGAGTCTAGTCTGCCAGAGCCCGCAGGTGACTCCCCATAGCACTCGACACCTTGCTGGAGGGCTCCCGTCAGCCCACGAGCTTTCTGGCTGAGGCTGGGTGACAAGTTCTTCCCTTGCAAATGGCGTGTCCTCAGTCACCATTAACCAGTAAGTGCTCCGTCCTCACTCTACTGGCCTACAGTTTTATTTTGCCAAGACCAACTAGGCTTTAACCCTGGAAGCTCATTAGCAGCCTCAGGGGTTGACTTAATAATGGATAGCATCCCTGCACCAGAGTGGTACCTGAACAGGGACCCTAAAGATACCACCCCGTTCTGCTGGTCCACGCGCACCCCCCGACTACATACAAAGGGCTAATTGGCCTAGTATCGGAGCTGCCACTTACCCTGCTGTGAGCCTGACACCATTGTCCCTGTTTTACTGAGGAAGCATCTCACACAAGGTCATGTAGCTATCAAGTGGCCTAGACAGTCTGACTCCAGCGTCTAAGGTGGGTCATTACGATGTAAGTCATTAAGTGCATCTTGATTTTTTTCAAGTATATCTTGAGTTTGCAATAACAACATAAAAAAATTTCCCATTTTCCACAGTATAAAACTTTTCCTAACTCTAAAACAAAACCTTACATGCCCTTGGATGCATAGTAATCCATTCTAAAAAGCATTCTGGCATCTTGGTGTAGAATGATGGTGGGAACTCTGTGAAGTTCCCTGGCACTCAAGTAGTTAAATGACAATTTCAACAGATTTCTGCAAAATGCCTTTATTGATAGCCCAGCAGGTGTTTCTTCCATTAAAACACAGAATATTAGTGGAGCCCTTGATTTATATTCTAGGCTTGATTTACACAGTGGTTTTGTTATGCACCAGCTTTTGTCCCCAAGTATTAATTCCGCTAAATATTTCCTGGCCAGTTGCTTCTAGATCTCCCCAAGGAATGAGCAATGATAATACATCCTATGCCTGTTATTTTGCCAGCATCCCCATTTCATCAGTTTATGGCAAGAGGTAACATTGGCAAATTCCACCAAATAGGAGAGAGCAAGTAAGGTACACTGTCTGAATATGTCTCTCCTCTAAGGAGATGGAGCCATTCCATAGGCGTCACTTAGTTCTTGCCAGTGGCCCTCCCCAGGAACGTTATAAAGCATCACATCAAGAAAACTAGATGCAGGTCTTGAGATATGTTACCAGCAGATCCCGAGCTCCCCGTGGTGGCCTTTCCTAAGTCGTCCAGTTTGTGAAGGATGTGTTTCCTGAGTGCACCGGGTTAAGCATTTCGCTTAAGTGAATGCAGGCAACCCCCCGGGAAGTGCACTGCCATGAACGCATCTTACAGATGAAGCTGAGACACATAAAGGGCAAGTAATTTGTCTAAGGTCACATCCCTGGCAAGTGGCGGTGGATCTAGGATTATGTCTCTTCCAGGTTCTGATCTTCCCACCATAGCGTACTGCCCCTGGCTGCTTAGAAGACACGCTGGCTTAGTCATCAGGACACGTGGATTTCCGCTCAGCTTCCCTTGGGCCAGTCACTGTACTCCCTGTATTTTTCTCCCTTGGAAAATAAAGGACGGTACCTATTTCACATGTCCAAGGCTTCTGCAGTCCAGAGGCCGATCAGGCCAGACGTCTCTTCCAACAAGATCAACCAGAGGTAGCCTGATTTAGGGACACAGCTCTTGGCCTGCAATCAGGTGTTCTGCCAGTCAGATGGTGTGTGGCAGGTTAATTCCCACTCCAGGCCTGCTTCCCATCTGTGAAATGAGGGGCGGACAGGCGGGGCTCCCAAGTCCTCCTGTTCTAAACTTCCATGATTCTGTATCGTCCTCAAATTATTCTGTAACTTGCACATTTATGAAGACTTCAAAGTTAATTGGTTCTCTATTCCTGAAATCTGATTTTTAAAAGTGCTTACATTAGGCTAGCCTTCCAACTTCCATAAATCAGCTGATGGAGCACAAATTCACAATTAAAAAAAGGGGGAGTGGGAGGTAGAGGCTTCCTGTTATGGAATGAACAGGACACAGGGATAAAAGGTACAGCACAGGGAATATAGTCAATGGTAGTATAATAGTGTAGGGTGACAGATGGGAGCTACACTGTGAGCATCACTTAAAGTACAGCTACTGAATCACTATGTTACATACCTAAATGAATGTAACTCCGTGTATCAACCAAACATCAGTAAGAATTAATTAAATATTTAAAAATATTAAAACGCCAATTTGCACAAATTCTAAGTGCTCGTCTATTTGAGGCTAATTTGATTAGATAGACATAAATAATTCAGTTTTATTTACTGAAAGCACTCTTGTCTCGGTGGAGGCCATGCAGTTGTAATGGGAATGGCATTGGTGTTGGTCAGTCTTTGGATGTTGGCTCTGATACTTTGGAGCTGTACAGCCTCGAGTAAGGTGCTGAATGGAGCTTCAGGTGCCTCTTCCGTAAAAACAGCACCCACCTTGCACAGTTTAGAATATGAAAATGATACACGACAGTGCCTCACAGCACAGTGGTATGTGGCAGGCCCGGAACAAATATATGAGCAGACCGTTAAAAGCAGAGAGTTCCCATCAGTCCGATAATGTACAGAGCAAATGACTCAAAACACTCAGCTACAAAGCCACTCAGGGAGGGCCCCGGCTTAGAAGGACGCTGGGAACCGTGCATCAACTCTGCACGCATGCACTTCAGAATCATCTATGGAGCTTTAAAATGCACAACGCCCACACCACACCCAGACCCTAACCCGAACTGGGTAGGACCGAAGTGCAGCCGAGGGGAAGGCCCCTGATTTATAATCCAGCCTTTCTAGGTTTGCTCTCGTAATGCACATCTCCTGGCCCAAATGCTGGGCCCAGAGCACCACTGGTAGACCTGGGGGCTATCAGCACTTGGCATGTACATTAACAAAGAAACCTGATGGTGTGTGCTTGAGCGTGGATTACTCGAGTAGTAACAGCAGTAGCAGTAAACTGCTGGGAAGCTGTTTGGCAGGTGGGACAACTGGCTAAGACAACAAGTGCAGTATGCTGGGATGGCTCAAGCCTGATCCTAGTTTTCCAGAGAATTCAGGCAGAGACCTTGATATGTGCCCCCTGGTGTGGCTTGAGGAGCAAGCTCTGCTCCCAGGACAAGCTCACTGTGACACCTGAAGCCTGCTATCCCTCACATCTGGGGGAAGAAATGGTTTCAAACATATTCCCAGCCACCAAAGGTAGGCTTCTTTTTGGTTTTGAGTGGAGTGTAGAAAGAGTAGAAGAAAGGACAGATGAGTCCCAGGTAGGAAGCCACTGCACAGTTAAAATGGCAGGCGTTACCACCATTCATAGACAGGCAAGGCTCACCCCAGTGGTCTGACTTCATTCAATCAACAGAACCTGATCTCTGCGCTATGCCACCTCAATAGGGCCAGGTCTCTGGAGGTGGTTTTTTGGGCCAGTAGCTAATTCTATCAACTCTCCATGTAGCTTAGACTATGGAAGATCAGAGGAACCAGATCTGCCTGTCGTGAACCTCTTACGAACCCGCTGGTGACAGCTGTAAGGACTTTACAGATCTAGTTCCATTTCCTCATATTAGAGATGGGGAATCTGAGGCCCCAGCAGGGGAAGAGACATGTCCCAGTGGAGGAGGGCTGGTGGGCCTGCTCTTCAAATGCATCAGGAGGCCAGGGGTCAGACTGCCGGAGCTGGGAGGGCCTTGGCCCCTGGCCACCCTCACCCTCCGCATGGGAAACTTGGCCAAGAGAAAGGAAGTGACTCACTGAAGGGCCGAGAGGAGCAGCTCTTTCTTACCCCTCTGCCTCCTCACCGGAACAGAAGACAAATGGAAACTGGCAGCACGGCCAGCCCAGAGAGTGGAATCACAGACCTGAAATACAGTCTAAAAGGACTGGATAAGTCAGCTTCCCTAGCACGCTCCCTCCTTCCATGAGCTGCCTTGTTTCTGGAGAGACCCACCCTGGAAGGGAGTATAGGAAAAGGCAGCCCGAGAGTGAAGAGAGTGAACACGGAGGCTGCAGGATGGGGTGGGGGTGGCTCGGGGCTTTCAGACAACCTGCACTTGGCTCAGAAATTCCGTGACGCCCTCTCTGGTGAGGAAGACCACCTCACCAGTGTTCTGGCTCCAAACTTCAAAATGTGCCGGGTCCTCCAGGGCCCTCTTGCCTGCGATGATCACAAAGGGGTAGCCAAACTTGTTGGCATCTTTCAGTCTGTTTCCAATGGTCCGATGGGTCCTGTCGTCGAGCAGGACCTCCCCGCGGAGCTGCGGCAGTGTCTCCGTGATGAGGTCGTACAGGTGGCCCGAGAGCTCGGTGGCCGCCTCCTCCTTACTGCCCTTCTTTGGGGGAATGAGGCAAACCTGGTAAGGCGCCAGGAGCCCCGGCCAGCGAACGCAGTCCTCCGTGGACAGCACTTCGAGGGCGGCGGCCAGGATCCGCGTCATGCCCAGGCCGTAGCAGCCCATCTCGGCCAGGCATGGCTTGCCCTGAGCGTCGGTGAACTGGGCGTTGAAAATGGAGGAGTACCTGGTGCCCAAGTGAAACGTGTGCCCCACCTCGATGCCTCTGGCCTCAGTGAGCGGGCCCCGGCAGGCCGGGCAGTCAGCCTGCGACATGCGCAGCGTCTCCATGTTGGCCGAGAAGCCACAGCCAGGACAGACAGCAAACCGGTCCTCCCCGATGTCGGCCGGCAGCTGGAACTCGTGAGACGTGGTGCCCCCAATGCTGCCCACGTCCGCCTGCACCCGGACGCACTGCAGCCCCAGCCTGCGGAACAGGCTGCCGTAGGCCTTGCCCACTAGGCCGTAGGTATGCCGGGCGGCCTCTGGGGAGGCGTCGAAGCTGTACATGTCCTTCATGTAAAACTCCCGGCCGCGGAGAAGACCGAAGCGGGGCCTGGGCTCGTCCCGAAACTTCCTTGTCACCTGGTACAGCAGGAACGGGAGCTGCTTGTAGGACACTGTCTTCTGGGAGGCGACCAGGGCTGTGACGGCTTCCTCATGTGTGGGTCCTAAGCAGTACTCCTTGCCGTGTCTGTCTCTGAGTCTTAGCAGCTCCTTGCCCATGAGGTCCCAGCGGCTGGTGGCTCGCCAGAGCTCCGCTGGGCTGAGGCTGGGCATGTTGACCTTCTGCCCCCCGATGGCCTGCATCTCCTGGTCTACCAGCCGCTCGAGCTTCTCCAGGGCGCGCACGGTATACGGCAGGAGGTGGTAACTGCCAGGGCCTGCCGGGTGGATCAGGCCCACCTGCAGCATCAGCCGCTGGCTCTTACACGTCAGGTCGCCAGACCTGCCCTCGAGAGACAACACCTGGTCTTCCCGAAGGTTCTGGGGCTGGAACATGCGAGACAGCACCAAGCGCTTCCCTGTCTCGGGGTCACGGTGGTAAAACCTGTGAGGACCACACCCAGAGAGCTGGTGGCTGCAGGTGGCCAGGACAGGCAGTGCTCTGCATCTTGACAGCAGCCCTTTCATGACACCTGGCCCAGAGAAACACTTGTGCCTGGAGAGAAATGAGCCATGCAGAGATAAGCGTTAACTGTGTCCTGACACCCAGACGAGACGTAGCCCGCTGAGTCTGCTCTCCAACACACTTCTGAGACAGCCACCGACTTTGCAGATGCAAACCCTTTCATTTCTAATTTTCTAGCAGATTCAGGTCCTACTTCTTGTTAAAAAAAAAATCAGTATTCTCCCATTTATAAAAATATAACAGCATACTGTGGCGGGACACCACAGCATGGGATCACAAGGGCTCTGGAATCAGGCAGCCTGGGTTCCTGGCGTGCCTCTTCCTGACTGCACCCTGTGTAGCTCAGGACGTGTGACCTAAGCCCTCTGTGCTCAGTTTCCTCATCTGCTGAATGGTAATACAACAGGACCCACCTTGCAGGTTTATTGTGGGGACTTAGAAGAGTTATACAAAGTTAACAGAACAGTATCTGGCACATTCTATGAGTACAATCCAGACTATTGTTACTACAGAAAACTGGGGGAAAAAACAGCAACAAATAAAAAAGAAAGGGAAATCGACTCCAGTCCCTCAGCCTGGTCATAACTGCTGCTGACAAGTCCTTGTCTCTTCTGCCCACACCCCAGCTGGCTTCCTCCTTAAGTGTCTTGTGCCTCTTCCCTCCTCCTAGCACTCCTCGTCAGGCCTCACACTCATGACTTGGAGTCAACATCTGCACTCCCTACGTCTCTCTCAAGCTTCAGACCTACCTAGCCAACCGTCCCCGAGAGAATACACTGCACAGATACTCGAAATGCTGCACCGGGAAGGAGCTCAGCATCTTCCCCCCAAACCCACTCACCCCAGTATAGCCTATCACTCTCCATGGCACCAAAAGCCACCCTTTGCCCAAACCAGAAGCCTGGGTCCATCCACTCTGCCCCCTCATGGCCCCCACACAGCAGCCCTCTTGGCCCCGTCATTCCTGCCTTTTCACTTGCTGTTCAATCTGTCCCTCCTCCCCACCTCCACAGCCTCCATCCGGGCCACTGCCATCTTCCCCCGTGAGCCACTGCAACAGCCTCCCCCCTGGCTTCCATCCCCGCCTTCCTCCAATTCATTCTCCATGCTGTAGCCACAAGGGACGCATCCCTCATGGACGGTAACAGTGCTTTTCCCGAAGTCCAGTACAATGACTTCCTGCTGCCCTCAGAATCAGGTGTCAGCTTCTGACCCTTCCAGCGCACATGTGAGCTTACTGCTGGCCTTATCAATAGCCCTTTCCCTGTTCCAGCTGTGCCATGCTCACTCTTAAACACTCTGTGCCCCTTGCATACCAACACCGCTTATCCTCCCAGCCTCAGAATCCCCATCCTGTCCTCTAGGATGCCTTCCTTGCCCCACACCCCTGCCCAGAAGGCCAGCTTCTCCCACAGCATCCCCTACTGATCACCCATCGCTCTCAGACTGACTGCTCAGATAGCGGCCAAGGACCCTATCTAGAGTGCTTGCCACTCAGCACGGAGCAGGGCTTTACTAGACACTGTCTGCTGAATGAGCACATGTGTTTCTCTAGGATTTCACAAAACACTCACATTCCTGATGGCAATACAGCATTTCATTAAGCATATCAGAAATGATTCTCCTACTACAGAGAGTTGTCGTTTTCTCTGTTACATACAATCTACAATGAACAGAAGGCTTTTGTTTGTGGTACATTTGGGAGATTCTCAGGAATGGAATTACTGGTCAATACATATGAACTCTTTTAAGGTTCCTGATTTATACTGCCAAGTTCAGTGAGAGCCTCTATCTTTCAGTATCTCCCATTACAAAGAGCTACCCTGCCATATGCAGACAACGGGTTATCCTCTCAGCTCCGCAGCCTGAAACCCTTGCGCGGCCCCCTCCAGCTCCCAAGGGCCTCGAGTCTTCCAGCTGGTCCCCTGCCACCTCAGGCAGCCTCATCCATTTCCCCCATGCATGGTACAAATATTACCATCTCCTACATGGCCTGTGACCTGAGACAGGTTGGGATGCACTATCACAGAGCCCTAATGTGACTAACTGAAAAAGTGTGGGCCCCGGAGGTACGTACACTTGGTTCACATCTGACCTCCTCACTTACATCAGGTCCCACCTCAGGCCAGTGGCTCACACCAGAAACTCCTTCCCCCTTGAATCCTCCTAAAGCAGACAGGTCTGTCTCTGTCTGACCTTCCCCTCAAGTTCACCCCCTCCTTTCTGGCTTACTGCCTCTTCTGGGTTAGCTCCTCAAAAATGCTTGGTCGAATGCAGTAGCCCAGTGGTTGTGAAACTTAAGTGGGCATCAGAATCACCTGGATGTCTTATTAAAACACTGATTGTGGAGCCTCAGGCCCAGAGTTTCTGATTCAGTAGGCCTGGGGAGTGGGCAGGGAAACTGTAGTTCTAACAAGTTTCCAGGTGATGCTGATACTGTTGGTCCAGGGACCACACTGGGAAAAGCATTATAAACTCCACGTGAGCAGTAACTGTGTTTGTATTATTCCAAGTTGCATCTGTATCATTACACACGGTGCCTGCCCACAGGGGGTACTCAATAAATGTCCATCAGTGACTGGACTGAATGACTCTTGAACCCTGTCTGTCCTGTCTCCAGATTACAGCTAAAAAGACAGTTGATCCAATCACTCCCCTGCTTATAACCCATCAATGGCTCCCCATCCTAGTTTTCTCGAGATGGTACTTCCATAGAAAGCCTCTTCATATTTTGATCCTAACACACCTCTTCCAGCTTTTTATCCCACCACTTCCCTAACATGTCCCAAACTGCTCATCATTCCTGGAAGAGGCCGGCTTTACCCCAGCAACAGCAACATTCAAGCTCCGTATTGCAAGAAGCATCTCCAACCCCTCCAAAAAGAGAGAATCACTTCCTTCTCTGGGCCCCCATTGCACACACCTCTTCCTTGTTTACTGTTCTGGAATAATTTTCAAAAGTATCTCTGAGAAACTTCTGTGTGCCAGGCACTGGGAGCGAGCAATGCTTCATGTCCTATTCCTCCATTAAACGAGGAGTTCGTGCTGTTTTCTACATTTTCAGATCAGGGCCTAGCACAGTGCCTAATATTTGCTGATCAAATGTATCAGTGAACGAAAAGCAAAGCGAAGGGGTGCAATGCAACAATTATCTGGATAGTTTAAATAAGAGCCATAAGCCCTCTGCCCTCACCCCCAATGTGTCCTCATCCTCAGATCCCAAGGCTTACGTAGGCGGGAGAATAAGTACTATGATTTCAAATTTTTCAAGGTTATCTACGGACAATACCTCAAAAGCGGTATAGGAATTAACTTGTCCTGCACCTCACACTCTGGCAAAGAGCCTCTGAGTCATTCAGTCATTCAACAAAAAAAGCTACAAAACAAAAAAGGTCCTTGGGGCACAGGCCTCTTTTAAGGTTAACTCACAATGGCCCTGCAACCCAATCAGGAAAGCTGTGCGTAAAGCACTTCCAACAGTGCCCGGTATATAGTGAGCGCTACAGTGTTTGCTATCACGCCCAACTCACAGACGAGGTAAGCGACTGCAGGTGAGCACAGGGGCACACGTGGAAGGCTAGGTCCTTGCCTCCAAGTTCCACCGTTTCCGTCTGGGACCGTGTTGCATCAAAGCAATGGGGCTCCAGACCTGGTTCTACGAACCGGCTCGGCCTTCACTGGCTACGTGACCCTGGTCAAGTGACTTCAGTCTCCAGGCCTGTTTCCCCACACATAAAATGGGAAGGTTGGCCGGGCCACCAGGCGGTCCCAGAGGGTCTCTCCAGGGCTAGCACTTCCGGAATCACCGTGACACTCACAAGACCCGAGGTCCACAGGGGAGAAAGGTCTGCGCTCATGTTACAACAGACGAAACACACTATCCCAGAGTTCAGGTGTCTGCGACCCCGCCCCAAACCAAGGAGGGACGCACGTGCTGCCACCCATGCTCACCAACCGAAGTGCCAGTAAAATCCGTCCGCGCGCCCGCCACGCCGGCCCAACGCGCCTGCGCTAAAGGGAATTGACCGCCCCCCCCAAGCCCCACCTCCTGCCTTTCTTGCCAATCACAAAGCCGTTCTCACGGAGACTAGCCCCACCCGATTCCGGACGCCTGTGAGAGGTTTTCCGGAAGTTTAGCTAAGGAGAAAGAATTCGGCTCTCCTTCACGACCATAGATTGGCTTGGACAGCGAAGAGCAAATTACCGTTCCGGAAGTGCCCTCTAGGATTTAGGGAGGTGTAACTCTATGATAAAAGCCTGGCGTTGCCTCCCACTGCCGGGGCCCTCCCCACTCTCGGAATGGAAAGGCTGGCGGCGGTGTAACCAAGGCAACAGTAGGGCCTTTCCGTTCGGAATCTACCCTAGGATTTTACAGGTTTTCAATTTAAAGACATTAAACATTTTTTAAGCAGAAAAAAGTACCTTCATTACAAAGCCCAAGACGGTTTTCAAGACACTAAATCAAACTTTCATTCAAAAAATATTTTTTCGAGCAGCTATCATGTACCAACCACTTGGAGAAACTGGGAATAGTGAACAAAACAAACAAAATTCCCTGCATTCAAGGTAGCTTTTATTCTAGTGAAAAGAGTCAATAAATCAATATAGTGAAATTTAGGAGGGGAACAGGAACTCGGTAACCAAAATTAGTATTTTTATGCAATTAATTAAGTTTACTGTAAAAAAATAATCCATGGTAAACAAAATACCAAAGTTTTGAAAAAAGACAGGATCCATCAGTAACCATCCATAGAGAAAAAAATTAACTATGAAAAAGGAATGGGTTGGAGGTAGAGTGGTTGCAATTAAGGATAATCAGGGAAAGCCTCAACTAAAAAGTGACATTTTGGCAAAGACCTTTAGGTGAGAGAGAGCCTTGCAGCTATCTGGGGGAAGAATGTTCTAGACACAGGGAACAAGCACACATGTCCTGAAGAGGGAGCGTATATCATGTAACTTCAGTTAACTAAGAACAGCTGTAGTCTATTGAGTGCCTAAAATGTACCAGACCCAATATAAGACCCCGGCCCCAAGAAGCTCTCAGACCCGGAGATCTGCCAGGAGCAACATCATATGATCAGTGTAATAGGGCCTGTGGGAGGGTAGGGAAGGAGGATTTCACTGAGGAGGTGATCTTTAAACTGAGCCTGAAGGATGAGTTGAGTTTCCCCAGACAAGAATGGTGGTGGGAATGGAGTGGAATGGCTAGGCTGAGGGACCAGGACACTTGGGCAGGGAATCAGGAAATTAGCTGGTATGAGGGAATCACGGGGTGTCAGAGGGTTTACATCTTTAGTTCCCACTGCTCCTCACAAAGTGTTTGACAGGCCAAAGTAGTGCTTCTCAACCTGAGCTGCACTGGACCCACCCTGTGCCTCAGTCCCCTTGCCCCGAGATGCTGGATATCAGTCTGGGGCGGGCCTTAGTGTCAGTGGTCCCCCGAGATGATCTAAGATGCAATCTGGGCTAGTTCAGTGGGTCTACACGAAAGGCACTGGACGGCCTGGTGGGGCACTGGGTTGCAGGGGGCAGTGTCGACAGGTGTCATCACCCTGGTCCTAGAGTGAAAGAAAATACAGCTTGAGTAGACCCCACGACGGGCATCTGCCTCCCCCCAGCTAGGAGGCCAGGCACAGCTGGGCTGGACTTGAGCTTTTTTACTCTAAGAATGTCACTGGGCCTCTGCAGCTCAGCATTGTGGTCCAGACTTTCCCTAAGGAGTGCAATTTTAAAGGTTTTACTGAGGCAAGACTCCCCACGCCTCCTCTCCAGGGGCAGGAGGTGAATAATCTTCAGTATCAGGACCCACAGGGCAACCTTATTTCTCCCTGCTCCCAGGCACGTTATTACATCCCTCCCAATCCTGGAAGTGCCAGGCATCCATCCTCCGCACCCTGAGGTGTTAATTATTTCTCAATTAGCAGTTCCCAGGCTGTAGAGCATAGTGGTGTGGAGAGGCCTAATGACTTGCGGTGTTTATACACCCCCACATCTTCAGAGCACTTTACCAATGGTAACTAATTAATGCTTATGACCCCCTTGGGAGGCAGGCTGAGAACTGCTGCATTTTACCTTGCCGTTTGCAGGAGCTTTTGCAGCCTGGGGCCAGCCGTGGTCAGAGTAGATTTGCTCCCCACTGAGAAAGTCCAGGAGTGGTGGAGACCCAGAATCTAGCCCTTTTGCCACAGCAACTTCTGGTGTGACATTTCAATCAATTACTTGATCAGTTATCTATTGGGTATTTAATTCATTAATTTAGTTCATTTGTGATTAGAACCCCACAACCCGTAAAACAGAAAAAAAAAACACAGAAAAAATTCATTCATTCATTCAGTGTCATTAAAGACAAACAAACAAACAAAGCAAAAGGACCCCACACGCCACACCTGCCCTTGGTGCCCCACAGCCCTGGGGACACACCGCACACTTAGTAGTTTGCTCCCGTTGGTCCTTGGTCAGACCTACAGCTCCCTGGCGGTAGGTACAGGTTTTGCTCTTTTATGTATCCTTAATCTTGACCAGAAGGCCTGGCCTGATTGGGGATTAGCAAAGCATTTTGTTTTTTGATTGTTGTTTTAACAATATATGAATGAATGAATGAATAGATAGATAGGTAGATAGATAGTTTCTTCCTCAGGCAAACCCTCTCCAAGGACACACTGAATCATTCCCTCATCCAGAGCCCATGGCCTGGCACAGAGTGCCTCTAAGTACATGTTGAATGAACAAGTGAAGTCAGAGTTCATGGTAAACTTCCTGACCTCAAGTTGCTCATAATCTCCCAGAGTCTGCCTCTCAAAGTGATGGTCCCAGAATCCTGTGGTAAGAAGTTGTGAAGAGAGGAGAGCAAGAGCTGTACTACATGGGGGAGGAGAGAGAGATTGGAATCAGGGAGGGCTTCTTGGAGGAGGGGACATAAAAATGGACCTTAAAGGATAACTAGGAGCTTCCCAGGATGACAGGGGAGATAGAAAGACAATGTAGTCAGAGGGAAAGCAGGCGACCACTAGCTGCAAGGAAGAAGGCTGAAAGATAGTCTGGCTGGAGCACACAGCACACCCAGGCATCATGGAAACACAACTGGGAAGGCAGTGGGTGCCAGTGTGCCGGGACCTGCTGGACCAATCTGTGAGCTTCTGTTCAGCTCTGAGCTACAGTGAATGGTCTTTCCTGAAAGAGTGATACTCCTCTTCCCACCAACACACACACATCTATTTTGAGGCTTAGCCCAAAACAACTCCTCTGAGAAAGTCCCTGGGCATTTTGCGTTCCACTCTGCAGTCCATGTATTTGTTATAATTTGAAAACAAGAATGATTGTCACTCCAAGAAGATGGCTGTTTCCTCTACTGAAGATGCCGGACAGCGGGAAAAGCCAGCCTGCAGGAAATGGAAGGGCTTTACACCGGGGAAGGACATGGGCCGCCATGTTTCCTTGCCTGAGTGAGGTATAAACTCCGATGGGAGGAAGAGGATGGTGAGAGAGGCAGGATGGGTGACTCCTACAATGGCCCAGACGGGGGCAGAGGTGGGAGAGGAGGGGACAGACTCCATGGCCTGGGGACACACAACTGGGTGGACTTCTGAGCCCACCCCCAGCTTGTTAGCCCAGCTTAGCCCAGACAGACTGGATGGGAGGGGGCAGGGCAGCCTTGACTAGGAATCCTGCCAGCCACTTCTAGGGATGTGACTTGGGGTTCCTGCTTCCTTGGTTCTTCATTAGTAACACAGGAATCATGAGGCACACATAGGGCCATTGTGAAGGTTCAATGGGAGATGTCATGGAAAGCATCTGGCTCATCCTTCAATCCATTCCAACTCAGAAGACCCTGCAGCTCCCCTCACCTATCATAAAGAGAGAACCATCATTCTGCTGCTGCCCACTTCCTTCAGACTCCCTAGTCCTACCACCATGCACGACACTGATCCCTTTTTTCTTCAGCGGCCTCTTCTCCTTGGGCCCAGAGTGTATCACTTGTTCACTTGTTTCATGCCTAAGTCTAGGGTCATTAGAGGAGACCAGAAGAAGGCTGGGAAGTTAGCCCCCCCACTTTTAAAAAATATTTTATTTATTTTGAAAGAGAGAAAGTGTGTGAACAAGTGGGGGTGGGAGGGGCAGAGGGAGAGGGAGAGAGAAAATCTCAAGCAGACTCCTCACTGAGTGTGAAGCCTGATGTGAGGCTTGATCTCACAACCCTGAGATCATGACCTGAGCTGAAATCAAGAGTTGGACGCTTAACCCACTGAACCACCCAGGTGTTCTAGTGGGCCCCTTTTTTATCCAGAATCCTCAGAATTGAAGAGTGTGACTACCAATCATCATCGTTCACATTTATACACCATTTGCTCTGAGCCAGGGGCAATATTAAACGCTTTACACCGTATCTGATTAAATCTCATGATAGTCCCGTGAGGTATAAGTACCACTGTTATGTCCATGTTACAGATGAGGCAACCAAGGCTTGGAAAGATTGGTTAGTTTGTCCACGTTCAAAAGGGGGAGAAAGGATCATTTCCAGGTCTGTTTGGCATAAAACCTGATTTCCACACTCATAGCCTCCAGTGTCAACTTATTTGTATCAGACATGCCTCCACTCCTAACCAGATTTGTAGGAGCGATCACCCAAACAGACCGTTTCTGTTCGGCTGGGGCCCCTCTGTCTGGACACCTGCTCTTCAGGGCCTGGCTCAAGGGGTGTTACGTTAGGGACGTAATGTAACATTAGGGACGTTTCCTTGAAGCCCCCACTGGCCGGG